TTTTTTTTTTTTTTTTTTTTTGCGCTATTTGATTGGAAGTGCCGTTGTACTCTTTCCACGGTAGATCCTTTCTAATAAAGATTTTTAAGCCGTTAAAAATTGTGTAGTGTCAATATCAACTACAAACCAATGTATTTAAAACGAGACAGGCGACCTTGGATGGCATACGTGATGTATGTTTATTCTTTTTTAGGTGGAAAGCGCGGAGGAATTTCAAATGTTGTGTTTTGAAGCTGATCTGTGCCCATATCGATTTGTTTACACCTCCCTCGACGGCGAAGAAGTAGAACTGTGTGAAAATGGAGCTGATGTAGCCGTTACGTAAGTAAAAGGTCTACTGTGGGGATCTGTATCCAACAACGTGCAGAGTAGACTGAGCACAGGAGAAAACCAATCGATAATATATATTTTTTTTACCAGGACAAATTCATGAAAAGTATATGTTAAGTTTGAAACCCAAGTAAGACAGAAGTTATGAATCCATCAGGTCCTTAAATGGAGTGTTAGAGGACGAATAGTTGTTGAGAATTCAATCGATCGAGCTAAAATAAGGTTTTTGTAGATTATGAACATTAAGTGAAAAATAATTTACTTTTCGTGGATAAGATAACCCAACTTACGCCCTTTCTTATTAGTAGAAAAAGAATTGTTGTCTCTCTCTGCCGTAGATGGGAGAATCACAGATCATACGTACAAGCAATTAGAGATTTACGACTCAAGGAGCTGCGATGTGAGTCACGTATGGCGGCTGTTCGTTGTGGTCTGTCCTCAGTGGTCCCTCTGCACGTACTCACAGTCATGACTCCGCTGGACATGGAGATTCGAACGTGCGGGCAACCCTCTCTTGACCTAGGATTTCTCAAGGTTTATCACTCTATTCCATCATTTTACATGATTTATAGTCGTACTGATACTTTGGCACAGTATGGAAGTAGAATTCGAGGGATGTTCTTGTGATTTTCATGTTTTTCACGAGCATTTTTTATTATTACGATGCCCCTAGGTGCCTCATGGAGAAACAAACCCATTTACTTTAACTAGAGACAAAGCTATCTTGGCTGGTCAACGAAATTGGAACAGAATGCTTTTTTGGTCGCCGGTCGTAAACCGACAGCAAAATTATCAATACAGCCAATCAGGAAAAAGGTTAACATTGTGAGGAGCCAATCAGAACTTGAGAAAATACGTGCAAATTACAGATTAAGGCGCCGCCCAAGTGCTTGTAAGGAACGAATTTGTAGACTGATAAATGTTTTTTTTTTTCCTTTTCTTTTTTGCCAGGCCCACACTTGCTATGTAGCAGGGGTGAAAGATACTGATGTGCACATTGAATACTTCTGGAACTCAATGGAAAGTTTTTCTCAGGTTTGTGATTCAACCCTTAAACTTTTAAGCTGTGATTAATAAATCTTTCTCTTAGCTGCTTCATGCTAACTTACAAATCAGTTCAGAGAATTGTTAGTTACATCATCATCTACCCTTTTACCACGAGATTACTTGAGGACATGTCAAAACTGCGATAGAGGCTACATGTTGATCCGTTATTGGATTTATAACTAGAAATGTGGCATTTGTACGTACAATTTTGTGCCGTACTTGGGTGAATATCTTTTGGCTGTTATATGTCGGCTTTGTGATGGACCCCGAGAAGGAGAATCAGAGAGAAGATTGGCAGAAATGATTTCGGTCTTTTTGTGAGAAAATCAAACAAATGAAAGGAAGCCAAACTCAAGTCTCTCTTTTTCAACCTCGTTTAGCCAAGAAACAAAAAGCCAAGTAACTATAAAACTAGAACGGAAGGACAAAAATCAGATGGCATTAAGAATGTCATCACATAGACCGCATTCAATTCACAGCTCTTCACTTAAGTTTGTTCTCTTCTTCGCTCTCAGGACCAGCTGCGAAAATTTGTGAAGTTTGCTTGTAATCAGGAAAGGTTACCAAGCCGATGCACTTGTCAGGACGGCAATCCTAACACAGCTGATGTACACGTCCCGCCATACCCCATGAAAATTGGTCCCCCTGACGGGAGAGGTGAGTTGCAACTTTTTGTAACAGTGTACATTGTTGCTCTTGTGAGTGAATAACAGTGTTATTGCTTGACAGTGGCTAGCGGAATTTCCAGGTTTTTTTTAATTGTATACATTAATTGGTTGTACAGTAATAATTGCCCCCCACAAGTTTTCCAGCCCAGAGGCCAGTAATTAGTAAATTGTAGTAGTACATGGTAAATTTTCTTACTTCTATTAGTTTTCTGGAGAAGAAGAGAGAGGGAATTATGAATAATCCAAGTTATAGTGCTTTTGTGGAGCACCTGGATTGATTAACAACGTACTGATGGATATGATTCGAGCTGAGCTTGTAGGGGCGTCGGGGAGGGGGGAATTTTGGAAGTAGGGATACTCTTCAGGGAACATTTGCAATAATGGCTGTCTCTGTTTTAAGTTTGTCCGATCAAGGCTACAGTTACAGCGAAGTTTCTTCCCAAATCGAGTGTAGGGTAAAGCTATTTTTGATTGTTTGTCTGTAGATTTTTTATCACTTTCAGTTCCGGGTTGATTGACATTTCAGGTCCTTCAGACGCGCGGTACATACGGGTAGAAACATGTATGTTTATGGTGAAACTACCTCAATACTCGACCCAAGAAATTATGACTGAGAAGTTGTTATATGCTATAAACTGCCGTGAAGACCCACTGACGGATATCACGTAACGCTGTTCAAAGGAAACTCTGAAAATGAAAACAAAAACAAAAAAACAGAAAAAAAACCATCATCAACTGATCAGAAGGATTAAAAAAACAAATGGAGCGAAAACTGTAGGTGTTGTTCATTTGGTGGTTTTTTGCGCAGAGTAGCCGCGGAAGGCATTGGAAGGAAAAGACAATGACTTTGCATTCTGTTTCTTTGGCGGATTAACTGCACCTACCTGCTAATGATATAATGTCCTAAAGACAAGTGCGTGCAGTATTTTCTACAAAATGACTTATAAGCAGTAATTATTACACAATTCAAGTTTCCACGATGATTTAAAACGAATTTGAAGCTCTTTTGGATCAGATATTTATGCTTGGCGTTAGAAAGATCGAAAATGTTGGTGTTTTTTAACGGACCTTATTTGATATATTAATACATTTCCATTCCTGTGTGTAATGATTTCATTATGCATGTGGTTACAACTAATGAAGTAATTTTAAACCAAGTTTTTCCAAGCAAAAAATAGTAAAAGATTGCAAAGAGTAAGAAGTATTTTAAGATCATTGTGAACCTTGCCTCGAAGTGATTATTTTCTGCAAGAAAAACAAAGTGGATATTTTACAAGTATTACGATGATAGAAAAATAAACTTGATAATTTAAAGTTCCTTCTCTTGTTTATCTCTCATCTTATTCTGTTGTAACTAAATTTTGATTTTCTGGGCCACTTTTTCTTTGTTATTTCCTTTTCCTGTATTGACTGTCAGTGTAAACGTAATTTTACCGGGAGAAGGACTCAAATAATGATCGTCAGCTTGTAAACAGGATTATGTCAATTAAACAAGACATTTTATGGCGCTGTTTACGTGAAAATGGCCATTTAACCAGGGAGCTGTTCACAAAAGAATATTTCGCGTTCCATAATGCGTTCACCTGAAGCAGCAAAAAAAAAATACTTGAATTGCAAATTACAACATGAATATTCAATTTTTCCCTCCGCAAGACCCAAACGGATCGCTCAGGAGGCCATCTTCGAACCCAACAATGGAAAAAAAAAGTTTCAAAGTCGACGTTGCCATCGTCACCAGTGGCGTATATCGTCGTGCTTCGAAGAATAAAGAGGTGGGCCATCAACTAGTAGCGTACAAGAACTCCGCGATTAAGTAATGGCCTCAGACACGTGCTTAGCATGTAAAATGTCTTCAAGAAATTGTTCGTGGAAACATTTGAAGGAAGGTAAGAAAACAACCTATTTTTTTCCTTGTAGATATTATTTTAGCGATATTAGATCAACATTTAGAATAAATGTGCTCAAACGTTTACCAAATACAAGTTGACTAACGGTCGTGTCATCATAATATTGATGAGGACTGAGAGGGGTGGAGTGGAATAATTCTGGGGGAGAGGGCGTCTTGGTTTGCACGAGGTTTCCATAGCAGTAAGAAATAAAATTCGTAATTGAATACTGTTACTAACCCAGTACAGTACATGGTGCTGGGCGAACAAACTATGTCCACTATGTGGTCTACCCTATTCGCTTTATGAAAGAAAACTTTCTCGAGACTCTCGTCGACTAAAATTTGTTAAAAAATAATTTGTCCTAAACCGGTAATCTTCCAACGGCAAAGGTCAATGTTGTGCCAACTACACTTAAGTATCATGTTTTGATAGGTCGCAAATATGTTCTAAGTTGATATTAGTTTTAGTCAGACAAAAAATAAATTTTTGTGGCCACTGCCTCCTATAGAATAGGAGTAGCATCACTATAGAATAGCAGTAGCCTCACCAGTAGATGTAAAGCAAACAAGCTCCGCGTCCCCAAGAGCAAGCTGAAGAACTATGGTGATCTAGCGTTTGCAGTCGCAGCTCCTGGCCTGTGGAACAATCTCTCTCCGCAAATAAGATCAGTAGAAACCTTGTTCAAATTTGGTAAGATTTCCGTATAACCCCATACTCATTATGCATTCATTCTTGGATTAAGGAAGCAGAGGCAAAACAATAGATTTCCTTTGGGACTACGGCTTTGTTTTTGATTGGTATGGGGTTATAGGCGGATTCATGCTGACGTCATTGTTTACATTTTTGCTCATTTGCATACGGCTTTGCGTAAAGAAGGAAGCATGTTAGATACAAATTGACTTCAGGCAGCTAAAGAGCTAGAAAACCTCAGTACATGGTGAAATTTTTAGCTCTTTGGGTGTAATATTCAAGGAGAAATGGTCCATCAAAAACTGCAAAATTTCTCGGTGGCAAAAGCGCTAATGAGCTCATACATTCTATGTAAAATTTTGAGTTTTTAAACCCGTGTTGCACAAAAAGTATTCAATGCATCAGGCTCGTTTTCATTGGCCGAGTTAATCGTACTTTGACCTTTCGATATTCCGAACTGATTTATTTTTAGCTCCATCAGAAACTGAATTGCTTATGCTAATGAGGCAAATATTGTAAACAAGGATTCCCCTATACGGAAATCTTTCCGTTTTCTGATGGTAATATTTTATTTCTGAGGGTGTCAACTATTATAATTTTATATGATAGGTAATAATGTAAATGTATTATCATCGTTAGACGTTTGTAAAGCGCCTAGAACTTTAGGATTAGGCGCTGTGCGAGTAATTGAATTATTATTAAGAGGAGGCCAGTAGCCAAATATGTCGAGGAAATGTATGAGGGTATCGATAGAATGCCGAACTTCACCCGATTTTAACCCGATGTCACTTATTGTTTGTTTCGGAGTAATTGTGTCATATCAGTAGCCACATGCAGTATCAGACAGCCCATTTTTCTATCTATCATCTTGAGTAGATATGTGAAAGGAGACATGCATAACGAAAATGGAACTTATTGCTTGTGAAATAGACGATCACTTTGCTAATACATTATGGTTTTAGTCGTTGAATTTATCTTGGTTCTCATATTTTTCAATATACTCAATTTTCCTTCATCTTTCATCGGGCAGATTTTGAATTCAAGAAAAACAAAGGAAAAAAATCAGCAGTAAATGAGAAAGGAATTGAAGAGAATCACAAGAGAGACGAGAGAGAAGAGACGAGAGAGGAAACGTGAGTTAATTGCTTTATATGATGTAATTTTTGTAACACCAATTTGATATTTGGTTACAGTCGGTGTATGCAGATTGCCGTATCAGTGTAAGGTTTTTAAGCAATATTTTAACATCTGTTTTTGTCTTGAAGATTTCTTAAAATAAAGTGGTGAAAATTCGAAAAAATCAGTGCATTAAAATTCCACAATAAGAAAACAACCAGAACGAAGCGGAGACCAGTTGCACGAGCTTTTGATTAACAATTCTTGGCCATTTTTGGCATATGTCATTTACCATAAAATTGTTTTCCGATTAGAATTTTCCTACATTTTTTTTTTATCTCTGGGATATGGCTGTTAGACTGTAGCTTTTTCCTTATTTGCATCCATTTACAATTCATGAAAATGCATATCGTAGTAGTTTGAGTTGTAAAGGCAGTAAGGCATTCAAGATTCAATTAACACTCAAATCTTTTTTTATGCTATCGTTTAAATTTGTTGTTAAACATCGAAGCAGAGCAGTCCGCGCAAAACTCGTTTAATAGGTCATGGATAAGCAGTCTGAGTTTTGGCCAACGAGTTTTTCTGATTTCTCAAAAATTCTTTGAATAACTTTACCATTCCGTCTGAGTTATTAGTGAAGTCAAACGGATGTGTCTAAATCATTGCAATGTTTTTCACATGTCGGTTTTGTTCGTACCATTATTCGGCATTTAATATTCAAGACTGTTTCCAACGTTATTTGCTGGCAAGCTTCAGGATGGTAACTTCACTGATTTTATAGAGATGTGTTGATGTTTCCTTTCTGTCTTGAAAAAATGAGAATTTCAATCGACCCGATACACGCAAAATAATTATTATTGAGATTCCATGACACATACTTTTAGCGCCTTCTAATTTACATGTTTACAATTCGTTGCTCGTGAAAGTTTGCCTTTTCGCGAATTCCAAGGTTTTTTTGCAAAATCACAAAACTACATGTTGCACTCGGGTCAGTGTTACACAACAACTAATATGTCAGTGAACGATACAGAAACATGTTCGAATTTTGCTTTGTTTTGTGTCAAAAAATACTCTAATTGATAAGAGGCAAAGAAAGTCGTTCACGAGTTCTTTTTGGCTCGTGCATTTGTTGTAATGCGAAGACAATTTCACAGTCGTCTTGGAATAAGTTAATTATTTTACTAGACTCACGGCAATCTGCTTGTATCGGTTATAGTTGTTTATCTTTGGATATCTAAATCAACCGTGAGAAGATGAAACGAACAAGAATATTATGAAGAGCTACATGACATTAACAGCCAGTTTGCATGGGATTCTTTAATTTGAGGTTCGAGCGAATTCGAGTAATGATAAAGTTTGCTAGTTGGTTTGCCGTTGGAAGGATTCAATATAAATTTGAAATGGTGGATGTATTCATTAATTCTGTAGTTCCTCTCTCTCTCTCAGGTACTGAATTATCGACAACTGGAGTCAAACTCAAGCAAGAGGTAAAAAGAAACTCTAGAGAAGAGTTCCAATTTATCAAGGAGATTCTAAGCTGAATCCATTGCGTTTGATTTCCAAAAACCTTCATTTCGACTATTCTTTTTCCAACGTACAATTTCTTTGCGACTAGGACTGTCAGAAACTTACAGCTCAGTGCTTGGTAAACTTGATGTCGTTTATATTTGTTTCTTTTTTATTAACATCTGTTTAAAAATTATAATTTTCCCGCCAAAAAACTTAGGAAAAAAAACGGCGCATGCGTATTTTGGGCGCCTGTATTTTTCTATGCTGAATGTTTAGGATTCTGTATATTATTGAATATAATTCAATAACCTCAACAATATTGTTTGCTGTTTTATAGTGATCTTTATTTTCTTCCTAAAAACATTTCAGACAATAAACAGTAATACAAGTATTTTGTTTTTCAATTACTTTATTCTCTTCTAATATTATTTAATTAGTTGAGTGAATTTCCATTAAGTAGTCAAGAAAAATTCGTTCGAATATATACTAAGACTTTTGGCGGGAAAATTTGGAGCAATTTGCGCAGAATTTCCCCTGACAACATTTTCAACAAAAAATTCTAAATAGCTTCCCTTAATTTTTTCGCCAAAAGATGTGATCACCTTGTGCAAAAAATTTTTCCTAAACACTTTTGAACAGCTTAAGTGTCAATTTTTTTCGTAGAGAAATTCATCTTTCTTTCTCTAAAAGTTTGGTGTTTGAATTTGTTTTCTTTTGCATAAGGTGATATATATACTTTACTACTCTAGAAATAAGATGGCAACTACTAACTATGATGGCAAGCTACAATCAGCTGCTTTATAACAACATAAAAGATACTTGCTATGCCGCTGCTCACAAGACCTTTTTCAGCCGTCGGATTATTTTTATTTGTTACACAGGAAATACTTTGACTCTAACTGATCAACATTTGTGATTAAACTTCAATCTTTCTTAGGAACCAAGTCAGTTGTATTGTTTTAGTCCCGACAATCTGGATAATTGCTTGGCTCCCCGTATCTTTGAAAAATTTTGGCTCAGTTCATTTACTATAACCAAAATAATCTTAAAATTATCTTTTTCATGGGCCGAATTGAGCACAAACTTTTTGTTGAGTTACCTTTCATTTTTTTATCGGTGAATTCAGATTTCAATCTTCAAAATTTCCTGTGTTACTTTAAGTTCGGGGTGAAAAAGGTCTTTCTACGTTATAAATACGATAAAACCCAATGTCTGGTTCAAAAAATATTTGTAAAGTTCAGCGAAAAACCTTAAAACAAGTTGTACAGACCAAAAACAAGGAAAAATCCTGAATCAGTC